GCTGAGGACTGGGGACGGCGGGGTGGCCGGCTGGACCAACCTGCCGTAGCGCCGATTACTGCATCCCTGTACGAACGATTAGGTGAACTTAACCTTACGTTCATTGCAGGCTGATTGTCACCTGCAGTTTGGTTCCTTCGGCCCGTATACTTGCCCAGTCCGATGAGTGGATTGACTGCTCTCTTCATGTTGGCTGCCAAGACACGAATTCCGTATCTGTTTACGTGGTATCCGTCAACAGTGTACAGTGATTTCTTTATTGTTCCTGAGCTGGAAAAGTTCGAGTTATCGATGATATGGACATAACTCGTTTCGTCCGCGACAACTCTCAGGAATGAATTCACATTATCGCCTATATCTTGAAGATTAGGGTCATCCCTCGGCAGAATAGAGGAAAAGACAAGACTACTGCTCGGGTACTTGTCGTGTGAGGTCTGGATGAGACCACGCAGGCCCTCGGTCACTGCTGCTGCGTCCCGTGCGTCACGGACGTCATTCGTCCCCACGTGGAACAGAATGACTTTGGGGTCGGGTAGAGTTGAACTCTGGATGTAATCCATAGATTCTCGAATGTTGAAGGTTAAGTCCTTTTTCACCTTTTTGTCGGGTATATAGGACTTCAGGTTTTATCGCTTTCGTGTTAGAGTCTCCCAGGATCAAAATGTCAAGCTGGGCGTCATTGTTTTGTCGGTTGATTGTGACATTGTTTTGTTGATTGTGCTTTCATTGTTCCATCCTGCCTGGTCTTCTTGCGTCCGACAACAGACGGGGAGGGTTTGAATCTGAATGGACACTCCGGTCTCCGTGGTTCATTGACACGTGTGAAACACTCTCATCTAACACTTGGTAGCGATTTCTAGTGCTAATCGTGGCGACTTCACGGATTAACCTGTCGGCACGATCAGAGGCTTGATCGTCACTAGTTTGCGACGCTACAGATACCGCTTTCTTTGAAGTGGCGGTTCCGGACTTTTGCACAATGCTGGCAAGTTCTTCATATTTATGTTGCAGCGACTTGATTTGACTTTCAAGCTCTCGCTTGACCCCCTGTAGATGTACAATGTCATCTTTAAGTATTCTTCCTTCCTCGACAGACATACCGCTGCACACGTGATCATGATTGAACGATTGCAGTTTAGCTTCAATAGTGGAAAGCCGATTTGACATAGAATTCTCAAACGACTTTCTGTCTTCGATTGAGTCAATCAGACATGTTTCCAACTTGTAGACATTCTCTTGAACAATGGAAAGATCAGCCATGTTTGTCTGATTGCGGTTGTTTAACTGGGAGCCGTTTGGAGGAATGTCAAACGTACCATCATGTGTATCTTCGCACTCTTGTACATTGTTACTGTTGACGTCAAGCACACACTTAGGCACAGTATTGCAGCACGTACAGACATCAGACACAATCGGTTGATCGCATGTTTCGCAGAGTGAAAGGTTGCAGTTCACTGGTAGCACTTCTTTAGTTTGCGTCAAGACTTCTGTAGCTACCGACACATGTAGCGGTGTGGTGTTACCGATTTTCTCTTTCAGGACCGGGAATACCTCGGAAAACCACAGGAGATAGGCAGAGCCTTGTATCAGAAGCTTCTGTGTGGATTCGTAGACTTTGACGCTTACAGATCCAGAAGCAAGCCCAGTTTTGACATCAACAAAAGAAGTTTTGATCTGGTAGCCGTTTTTTCCTCCGTTGATCGCTGACGTGTCATGGTGTTCCTGGCACGACTCAAGCCATGACTTGGCAAGGTTCTTTGGAAGGAAAATCGTGATGCTCTGTCCGTTTTCCTTTACATGATATTCGTTCACATGATTCAGCGCTCTACGACTGGTCTTTGGAGTCTCCGGTATAATGTGACTGCTGTCGTACGATTGTCTGCGTGGTGCGTCAGACAGAACAGAAAAGGCTCTGCTTACCGAGCGGTACTTGGCGTCTGCCTCCTTGAAAGCGCCGGATTTACGGCCGTTCTTCGCTGCTTCTTCGTATATGATGACCTCCTTCTTGTAAGCGTCCAGGATTTCGTCCCGGGAAGCCGTCAGCGTCAGGCCCAGAGAGGCGTAAAGGTCTCCGTGAGGGTCCGCCATGATGACCGTCTCCGCGTCGGCTTGGGTTTTATGCTAAGTTCCGAATCAGCCGGAAAATCATACAATCGAGGTCTAAAACCGCTAAAAGCAATCGAAATCAATATAACTGCATTTAAAAAGTTCCAGAGAGTAAAATATTGAGTAGATTCTAAGGTAAAGACACAATAGAAAAACATTTAGCAGGAGCGTATGACCGCCGTGACCGTCATCGCCGCCATCTTATTTACATGTTGTTTCTCCTTTAGGTGATGACACATGAGTTGTGTCACATGTTTGGTATGAAGCACTGCATCTACTTCTCCTGCTGCATCAACGGCTCCAACAGTCTGGACGAGTCAGACCGCCGCCCCGTCGACCTCTGCCCCATCTGTCTCCGCAAGCTCCAGGAGGCCATAGACTTCCGCCTCGCCGTCCGCTTCCGCGCCATGCTGCAGTACTGCACCAAGGAATCCTGGGACGCCGGCATACCCCCACCTCCTCTGGAGGCATTCGAACCATTCAAGAAGTGGCTGGAGAGAGTTCTGGTCTTCATGGAGAAACAAACGGTCGCTGGGAGTGAGGAAAGCAGCCAAGCTTCCAATTAATTAGCGACTATAAAAGACTTAAGTATTGGATATACTGTCATTATACCAGTCATTCTCACTCCCTTTTCCAGGACATAAAAGTCGCTGTATCTAATACTAATAGCAAATGTAAAAGAATTTTATAATTCCTCAACTTGTCCTTGCTAGGAGTCCTTGCGTGGCATTGGTTTGAGACTAACAGTAACAGAGTGACACTAACAGCCCTGTCTAGGGAACTAGGGCTGCGTACCTTTTCGTAACATCAGCTACAGGTACAGGTACAGAGGTTTAGGTCCAGGTCCGGACCTGTACCTGTACCTGAAAATTCATGCGCGTCACATGTTCTAACACTGGATGTTCATTTTCCTGGCAGCCCTCCTTGTGTATAGTGATCAAAGTTGGATTTTTGTTCCGGTCCAAAAAACCGGTCCACTGACGTTTCGGGTTTTTTTTTGACCGGACCGATACTATTTCTCTGGTCCGTACCGGTCCAGGTGGACCGGTACGCAGCCCTTCTTGTAAATATGTAACTGTCTACAGTGTTGTAACGGTTATTTCTGTACAGAGATCACAAAAATGGTTGATACAGCCAGTAGGCATTCAACATATCCTCTTAATGTAAATATCTCAACAAAAAATTATAGATAGTGCTGACAAGTACATGTGATGCATATGAAAAATGCCACCATGTTCTTTGAAAGGATATAAAGATTAGAAATATTGATTTTTTGCTGGTGTTGAATTATGTTACTAATGTACAAATGTACATCTGATTATTTTTTCTAAGTTGTGCATTAATGTGTTATAGCTAGAACAAAATGAAATTCAATAATTTGGCTCCAGATGTGCAAGAACTAACCTTTTACAAGCTTCTTGCTTTTTAGCATCAATCTTTTTTTTGTCTTTTGATCAGTTTTTGGCAAAGTTCATGTAGGTCTGTTTTGTTTTGGGCTTTGTTCAAGAAAACTTGTTGAGAACTCTAAAAAAATACTAAAGAGTTGTATATTTTGATTGCTGCATGTAATGCTGGAGACAATGATACTTGAAGGAACTAAATACGCAAAAGATAGATGAATTACCCAAGAGGAGTTATTTGTTATTCCAGAAAAAAAATTAATTGAGACCATCAGATATTCTATGTCCTTTGTCCAATTTTGTTGTTTCGAACAACAATTTCGTAGCTTTTAAATTAAATCACATGTAAAAGTATCAAAGATATTGAATGTCAAATAATCTTTAAGGTTTCTGGTTGATAGAAGTTTTAAAATTCATATCTCTTATTATAAATCATTGCACAATATTTTGAGAAAGCACAATTATAATCTACATGTACTAGTATATCAATATGCTTGTTTGTACTTGAGCAAAGGTACAAAATGTAGTTATGACTTTTTAAAATTTCTGCCAGCTGTTATGCTTCTGTAACCACCAGTTTTGTTGTCTCTTTATTTTTAAGTCGCTGTACTTGCCCTTGAGTATACATGCAGAGGTATATGATAGTTATATAACTTACTATTATGTATCACATCTATTTGTATCATCATATGAGAACAACAAAGCAACTTTTATCTAACTAAATGATATGAAATCATCAGTGACCCTTGCTTGTATAAATTTATCCTGGATGCAAGTCCTGAACTTCCCAAACATTAACATACACACATACACACATACATACATACACCTCGTTATGTGCTGTTTTTCTGCTTGTCACTTGTACAGATGTGTACCAGACATGTATATCATCATGTACCAGTCATGTACTAGTCATGCACTAAGTCATGTAGAAATAGATATGTACCCGAGTTATGTTAAAACAGACATGTACATGTATCTGTCATGGAAAAGTTTGACATGAAAATGTGACTTTATTTCCACCTGAGGAATAAACATTCCGAGTACCTATTAAGTTCCCATCATTTACCAGTTAGGCCATGTTGATTTGATTATATGGATGACATCCTCCGGGAGCCCCAAAACTGATGCGCGCGTGCGAATAAAAAAAAAGTTTTGCAAAAAAAAAAGAGTTCTTTTCATTATGAAATCTACATGGTCATGAGGGTTGAGCAAATGGCACAGAATATGGTTTGGCGAATAATCTAGTCTTCAAGTTCATTTCTTTACAATTTCGTCTTTTTTCGTTTGATTTTGGCATTCTACGACATTGGTATGGTTTTTATTAATTTTTTTTGTAACTTATGGTATATTTTTGCTCATTTTGCAACTGTTTTGTACGATTTACAGTATGGTTGAAAACTTTTTTTTTTGGAAATGGCCGAAAATTCATGCGCGCGCGGATGTCATCCATATAATCAAGTCAACATGGCCTTAGGTATTACAGCAATCTGCCATAAATTATGCAAATGAGGTCTTGATTTGCATAATTTCAATCTTATAATTTTCCCCTCATCCAAGTTACATATGTCACGATCTAGAAATTCCTATCATTTATCAGTCAGTATTAACTGTTATGTCCAGAGTTATTCTGCTCCAAAGTCACCGGCTTAAACGCCACTGCACTTCCAATGAAAACTGGTAGAGGGACCAGACTTATGTCCTTCCTCCTTAGCCCAAAAGCTTATCAAAAGTGAAAAATTGTGACCATAGCAAGTTCAGAACAAAAGATACAACAGCCGGGAGTGCTGCTTCAGTACCAAGGAGAGTCCCTAGGGGGCCAAATTCTAATCATTAACGTTAGGAGATTTGGGCCACCCTATCCTCACACCAAATATCATTAGATTCCATTCATACCTTCCCGAGTTGTGCTGTTCACAGACAGACAAACGGACAAACGCTACTAAAGACATAACCTCCATAACGGAGGTAATAATAGAACTGTTTTTCACCCCTATGTAATCACACATAGTACGGTCCGGCCGACCAGATTGCTGCGCATGCCTAGTATTTTTACGCACGTTTTTGTGCCGGGTGTTGGACGGCTCTGTAGGATGTTCCCCCGTTCCTACAACATTTAGGGCAAAATTTCCGCTTTTGGTCAGCAAATTATCCGTCTTATAGCATGCAGTTAGTGTAAGGAATGTTTTCAGCGTGTATTTATGCCGTTCTGTGGATGTTTGAGGGAGAAACTGAGTATTTCCTGACCGGACGAAGTTTGGACAAGAAACGAATATTGTCATGACGGGGAGGACGGCGTGGTGCTGAGAAGACTCGTTCTTTCATGAGGTAAGACAACAAACTCTCCTTAAATGTACTTGTATTTCTACCAAACCTGTAGCAACAGGTCACGTTATATTTGTTGTGTATATAACGACGGTTATATTCCGTGAAACTTACGGAGAAAACTGGCGTGTTCCTCAGAACGGACTTCGCCTTTGTCTCCTACCTCGTAGTTCCATAGGCCAATTTTTGTGCTTGACCATCTTATATAGATTCCAAAGTTGTTTTCTTTGATAGCATGTTTTTAGAAAGCACTGACTGTATTTGTTGAGTGGCATTTTGAGAAGCTAAGGGCTGATTTCCGTGCTGGAAAACTGTCGGAAACACGTTTTGTTTTGTTGGAAATTTCCGCCGCATCTTGTATTAAGAAGTTGCTTTCATGACACGGAGAACATAAGCTACATTAAGTGGCACAATTTTTTTGAGAGAACCTATAGCATGGGCTAATTTGTGAGCAGAAAAACGGCCAGAAACACGATTTTTGTTGGAAATTTTCGCCCACGTGGCACTAGATTTGGCTGGTGAACACCTGTTGGAATGCGCCGCACGTGGTGCATAATTATTCAAATTGAATGTTCGGAACTTCCCGCCCAAAATTCCGTAAACAAGGCTTTGTTTCTAGGGCTTTAAATACTGGATGCATGTGCTCTTTTGTGCACCCAAAATTGAAGGTGCCCCCTTTTTTTTTGGTAACCCCCAAAACCAAGGACGTTCAACGTCCTTGCCAAAACTGATGATTTCATTTCAAAGCCATTCAGTGTTGCCTGGAGTACTAGTATTACCGGCCGAAGGCCGGTTATAGAGATGGCTTTATCGCTTGTTGTCACATTGGTAAGTTGGTTGGGACAGTAGTTGGTACATTTATAGGCCATGCTTGACTGTTTGTGGTAACCATGCGAATGCCATGCCATGCTTGACTGTTTCACTTTGTGGTCTTTCATGATTCACATTCATATTCTCATATACATACATAGTAGTAGTCAAGTGCATTTGGTCAATACCACCGCATCAAAATTCTGTATCAGCTCTTGATACACGAAACAGAAATATCGTTTTCTTGCAACTGCATAAATTATCTAGATGCTCGTCTAAGCTCCAGACGACGAGAGTTCGTACCCTGATGTTGGTGTTCCTTTTTAATTTTCTTTTTAACATCCGTTATTTTTCTTTTTTTTTATTGTTCTTACTTTTTACTGTAACAGTTTTGTATTTTTGCACTTCGATGCATCGTCTGGCATGTTTTGGCAAGCTAAGTTTTCCGGTTCGAATCCCACTGTCGGCATTATTTTGTTTTTCTTTTTAACAAGTCCGAAATGCCAGAGTTCTTAAAGTTCTCCCGACTTGGCGATGCCTTCAGTTAGTTTTTTTTCTGAGGCTGGTCTAACTTTTTAAAAAGCTTTTCTTGTTCCTCATGTTTCTTCTAATCCTCCTCTTTCTCCTGCCATTTCTATAAATTGATTCAACTCCTTGACTTTTGGGCCAAATAACATGAAATTTGGGATGAAGGTAGAGTGGGCAAATACCCCCAGGCATTTTTTTCATTTTTGTGATACATGCTTTTAGAATGGTTTTATTTGAGCTTTTTGGCTGTTATAAATATGTACTATAGCAGTGTGTTACCATATTTAGGCATGAGTCACCAGAATGGCATGTAAGGCAAGCAACCATAGGCATGCAGCTTTTCTCTATTCTTCTTGCTGATTGGCTGTTGGGATTTTTTGGGTTGACTCAATTACCAACTTTACAAGTCATGTATGAATTGCATTCAAGTGTTTTGGTAGGTATGACAAGCTTTCCTGCTCCAGAATTGGAATGCGGGTCATAAACGCTTCTTTTTATCTTGAAAATCAACAGTTTGCATTACTAGTATGTCCCTAGAATTCATACTATACTTATATCATTGTAAAGCATTGTTTTCCCTTGTATTTCTCCTTCTTTCCCTGCCATGTCTTGAAATGTTGTGAAGCTATGCTGAATTTGCTCCAAGGCAAATGTCTGCCTTTCTAGTTTATATACTAGTATAGTTTGGCGTGTCCTGATGTTCCTACCTTTACTAGGAGAAACCTGTGATGATTGGGCATCTTCGGCCCACACCAGAGCAGATGAGAAAACAGTTAACACTATGTTTTACAACTTACATGTTTATTTCATCTCTTAACTGCTGGGCATAATACACAACCAGTATCAAACTGCAAAAACTTCTTGGCCTACAGTCTACATCTTATTGAAGCAAAAAAAATACTGTGCAATTTTACCATCTTTCATGGTCATTCAGTGTTGACTAGACAGAGATGCTTTTCACTTCACACTCCTTGTTTATATTTCAGAGCATGTCCTGAGGGTCAGCTGTCCTGACTGGCGACTCCAGTCCAAACAAGTTGACTGCAAGTAAGTCAGACTCTTTAATTCTTTTGTGTGAAAAACTAGTGTAGGCTGAGGCAACATTGTTCCCCATTTTATGTGTGATCTACTTGCTGACTCTCTGCTGGAAGTCTGAATCGTGATGACATCACAAGATGCTGTCTTCCTGCCAGTTTAGATTCACTCTTGACGTCATCACACTTCTGACTTCTGGAGAGTCAGCGAGTGGATCATACATGTGACAAAGGTTGACAAGAGATCAGCCGAAAATTTGTGGTGAATACTTTGAGCTGGCCATGGAAGAACTATAGATTTTACAAACACAAATGAGCTTTGATTGGAAGGCCAATAATAGCTGATGTTCCTCTGTCTTCAAGATGACATTGTGGATGATCTGGAGACTGGACTGTAGCAGGAAGAAGGACCAGACATTTTGTTGGCAGATGTCAACCTGTGTAAAAGAAGATGGGGAGGTGTGAGTATGTTTTCTTTATTAACACGAGACAACACTCCACATGCCCTCAGGTGCACACATTTGCACTCGCATTTCTCTCTTTTGCCCTGTTCTCTCTACTCTGCCTTTTTTTCCATGAGGAGGCACTTAGCGTTAATCGTAGCTGGCAACTTTAATTCCACAACAAAAGACACTCATTCTAATCGTATAGTTGAATGCGAAATTGCCCAAAAATTGTCACTTTGGTGTTTGGACCTTTACATTGTAAATTCTCCCACCAAAAAAACAATTCCACGTTGTTATCCTCTTTGTAGAATATAGTTTAATGCCAAATTGTCACTTTAAACCTTTACACTTAAATTTTCCTGCCAGAAACTTAGTATTTCAGCCGGCCACTTAAATTGCCCCCAAATTGTTGGACCTTTACACAAATTTTCTCGCCAAAGAACTTATTATCTTAGTTGGCCATTAGTTAACTTCATGCTGATTTGATTTAAGTACTCTACAACTAATTGGGACCCTCACCTGTTCAATTAATTAGATTAAAGTTTTCCCGCCAAAAAACTTAGAATATAGAGAACTCTAACCTTGAACTTGTGCCCCCCTCCCCACACTCAACTTCCTCCACAACTTGCATGTATGTTAGTTTCACTTATCCGAAGATGTAGTCACCACACTCTGCTACCCAAACACTCTCACGTACTTCATCGAGTGCAGTTCTTCCACCACAAGACTTAAGAATAATCTCTTGCTCTCCTGGTCAGTCAATTGCACTGGTATACTGATGTGTCGAAGCATCAATGTCTCCGAAAAGACATCCCCCGGGGAGTACACTTAGTGCATTGAGCGACCAGGAGAGTGAGATTATTCTCAAGTCTTGTGGCGGAAGAACTGCACTCGATGAAGTATGTGAGAGTGTTTGGGTAGCAGAGTGTGGTGACTACATCTTCGGATAAGTGAAACTAACAACATACATGCAAGTTGTGGGGAGGGGGGCACAAGTTCAAGGTTAGAGCTCTCTATATTCTAAGTTTATAATCTAAGTTTTTTGGCGGGAAAAGCTAATCAAATTAATTAAGGGCTTGGAGCAGCTGTGGGAGGAGTGTGTGACTAAGTGGAAAGGTCCAAAGCAGTGGAAGGGGGTGACATTCAGTGCAAATTTCAGTGCAGAGGTTAAGGAAAAGAGTGTGAAAGTAGTGTATCAGAGTGTGCGAGGAAAAGATGACTGGAAAGGTCCGAAAAAGGGTGACGTACCATGCAATTAAAAAGCAGTGCAAGTTTAAGGATGAAAGGCTATTAAAAGGGCAAAGAAAAGAGTCTGTGAAAGCAGTGCCAGAGAAAGTTAGTGACTGAGCTTAAGAGAAGATTTGGAGACAAGGTTGAAGGAATGAAGTGGGTGTTAAAGGATAGAAATGTAGGCAAGTGTGTGTACTCGGGAGAGTTGGAAATGGTTGTGTTGCTACACAAATAAACTATACTCACAATCCCAGGTCTGCTTATGTCTTCTCTCCCTGCTTTGCTGGCCAAAGTCTGGTCCTTCCTTCCTGTCATAGGGAATCCACCATCAGTCATGTGGAGAGAGGAAAACAAGAAGTCAGTATATATAGCAGAGAAATTATTCACCTTTAACAACTAAACTATACTGCACACAACAGCAGCACTGGAGAAATGTTGTTCATCATGCAATTTAAGGCAAGGCCATACCAATTTAATTTGTTGCTTCTCGGATTTTTCCAGAAAAAATACGAGACAGGGAAAAAAAACAGGTCAAGGCACCCAATGAAGACCGGAAATGTTATGATATGAGCCATGAAGTCAACATACCAGGCTGGTTTATAATTAAAACAATAGATTTTGAACTTTTACTGAAATGAAGTTGCATTGTTACATTGAAAAACTTTAACACCTAGAAGGACTTTCTTCAACCCTTGGGGCCAAAATATGTCTTTCCTTGAGCATTTTGCAGTTGATTCAGAACCTAAAATCTTTTTTTTTTGCAAATCAGAAAAAATGGACAGGGCGAATCAGAGAAACAAC